CGGTAGGCATACATGCCACTATACCGAGGCTGTTTGGCAGCAGACTCCTCGGGTAGCATTGATTCCTTGACCTTGGATTTTATCCCATCACATCCTACCACCACATCGGCCATGGCGATTGTACCATCTTCAAATTGTAGCCGGACCCCGTCTGTTGTTTCCGTCAGTTGGTTCAACCGTTTGCCAAAATGAACAATTTCAGGAGGGACCAGAGCCACGAGGGCGGCGAGGAAGTCCGCACGTCTCAGCGTCGTCTGTCCCGACGGCAAGGCCTTTAGGTTCATTAGAGTTTCGCCTTCATGGTCGCCCGTGGCCCAAACGAGTTCAAACCACGTTTGTTTGTATTGTTCATAGCCGGGGCTATCCGCGTGGGTTGTGACAAGAGCGTCGTAGATGGCTCGAATCTCTGGGTCGATGAGGGGCATAGCCCGGTGAGCCGCCGGACCAATGGATAGCCCTAGCCCGATCTCTGCAAAGGCAGCAGCTGCCTCATAGATTTGAACCGGAACCTGACGTCGTAGCAGACCGACCGCGAGAACGAGGCCACCGATGCCTCCACCGATGATGGTGACGGTAAACGGTCGGAGTGGGCCCATAATGAGTTGATGGGCAGCAACTTTGGTTCGGGCGGGGATAAGAAAATAGTGCCCTCAACTAGACTAAACCTCGGCTCGCACTCCCCACTCTCTTTCTTTTTCTGTCTGTCGCGTTCGGGGTATGGTTCCTCCCACTCCCAGTTCCTCGTTCAGGTCCGAATCTGGTCTGACATGGGTAGTGGGAGAGGCACGGGGCATCCAAGGGAGGATTAGAAATAGATGGTTATCAATGCGGCGACGACAGGGAAGTGAGCCGCGGTGCCCCTGAAAGGATGGCCATTAATAATTTGGATCACCACGAACAAAGCGTTCAGGAAGCGAAGTAGGCAGGGATGTCCCATCTGGATGGACTGTGAGTGGCGTGATCCCATGTCAAGGGATCCAGCCAATGTCACCAAGAATAGACTAAGACAACTAGTGGCCTGCTTAGATTGAGGGGAAATCGACGTGTCGCGGTCATCCCCGATCAGCCAGCCCCAAATGATGACTCCTTGCTTTGTTTCCGACGGATTCATGATGCGTGATTTTTGACGACAAAGCAATTGATTGGAGGGCTGTCATTAACCAATTGGAAATAAAGTCTGACGGCCGTTGATCCAGACTACTAGTAGTAGTATCGAGGCATGGAGCCTTCTCGTGCCTGGCAGATGCCCTATTCTTTTGTGTCGGCCGGTTTCCCCGCGATATCTCCGGGCCCGTGCCTGCATCTCTTCCCGTGTTCGAGTTGAATTGACTCCAGTTCAGTCCGTTCAGCTCCCCCACACATCCCCGGTCTTAATGCTTAACCCTCTATTCCAATTTCACACATTGCACACTCTAGTCACTGGGATCGCCATCTATGTGCTACAATATAGCCTACCAACGAAGGTTATCGCAAAAATGAGGAGCTTCACAGCACCCCATATCAACTTCCCGAAAGCTACTTCAAGTCAGGGACCAGGAGCACACGACAGGTCGCGTGTGTGGAGTCCTCCGTGGAGCATCAATAGATGAATGACTGTGCCAGCTGGAAACCATCCCGCCCTCCTCCATACTCATTGGCACACTTCCAATCCACACCAAACAAGACATCAAGAGATCTCGGGCGTGTCCGGCTGCACCCACGGACCAGGTTCATGCGCATAACTTCCTTCGACCTTGGTCTGGACAGACTGAGATCCACGATCCCTTTCCCTTCCGGGCATAGACAGGCCGATTAGGTTGACTTAGCTGGCTATCCCCTGATGGCCTTACGCACACCTGCCAGGATCAGAGATTTTTTATCCCTGGTCTGTCCCGGGGTACAAAGTCTTTTGCTGGAGCCTACCCCGGGTACTCGTCGGTCCCTTCACAGAATACGGATGATTGCGTTGAATTGTTTCTTCTTCTACTCAGCGGTGCGGCTCGGTCAGATGCATCATGTTGCCCTGGATACGGGCGGTTGACGACAATGCCTCTCAGGCATCAGTCGTCGTAGTCCCGACCATTGTGACCACGGTCATTGCTGTGGTACTCACCCTGCTGCGGCTGTACGTTCGGAAGTTTGTCATGAGGACACTGTCCTGGGATGACTGGTTCAACCTCCTCGCGACGGTAAGGGCTGCGCTGGCAGGACTGTTCAACGCTTTCACTGATATCCTATGCCTTAGTTGACCACCCTCATCGCTATGGCCTTGATCCTCGCTGCAGTCCCGTACGGACTGGGGCGCCATTATGACACCCTCGATGTCGATCATGCCGTCTACTGTATAAAGCTCATGCGGATGTGTCTCTTTCCGCTGCTGTTCTCGACCATCTTCTTGAAGATCTCCATTAGCCTTCTCTTGATGAGGCTGTTGTACGTCTTATCCCAGAGTAACTCAACTGCACATAAGCTGAGAATGCGCCTAGTCTTACAGCCAAGGTGTGGAAGATATTCTTCTGGTGCTTCATTGCCTTCAATACGATCACGAGCCTTCTTGATGCCGCTATCGTCCTCCCTCAATGTGATCCGGTCGCGCGGACATGGGACAAACGAGTGGATGGAACCTGTTGGCCTAGTTCGGCAATTAATGGGGCGGCCATTGCGCAAGGAAGTAAGAAACCCTCTGATATTCCTTTGGATTACCGGCTAACTCCGTAAATGTAGCAATCGCCGCAGGAACAGACATTGTGCTATCCATCCTACCCATCGTGTTTCTATGGAAGGTTAAAATCCCGATCAAAGTGAAGGCAGCCATATGCGGGCTCATGGCACTGGGGTTTGCGTGAGTCTATTCTATGCTTGGGCCGGACGGTATGCTGACTTCGTATAATAGGAGTGCGGGGTTTGCACTTGCGCGAACAATGTACGTTTCCACCTTGACCGAGTCATCGGATCCTACATGTACGTGAATAACCTTTCGATCCAACTCTTGTCATAATAATTCTAACATGGGACTAGGGGACTACGTGAATCTCTACATGTGTGCATTGTAAGCGAGCTCCTTACCACAAACACTTCGTAATGCTAACCACTATACAGCCTAGAATCCTCTATTGGAGTCATCGCTGCAGCCGCACCCTCTGTACGGCCTCTCCTTCGTCCGGGATTCTGGAACAAGGAATACTCCCGGTCGAGATCCCGCTCTTTCCCGCTGCATACCTTGACCGCCAAGAAGAGCGCACGGCCGGTCTGGGGAGATACCCTGTTCGATACCAGGCTCGATCTGGAAGACCGCCCGATCAATTCGAGGGACAGCGAGTCCAAGCTGTGGCCACAACTGAGCATGGCTATTATGAAGCGGACATCGATAGAGGTGGTGACCAACTCTTTAACAAATAGCGAGGTGAAGGCCATGGGAAGGCGAAGTGCTTAGAGATTTGTACAGATAGAGAATGGTTGGATGCAAAAGTTCCCCACGTATAGTTTCTGCTACTGAACAGAGCTAGAGAGGCTAATGCCACTCTAATTACCCGCTTATATACTCATGCCCGCCGTTTAGTCCCCCTTACCGACTGCTGACTATTTAACGTAAGACGGAAAAGTGTTGTCTGTTTTTATTTGCATCCATTCAACCTCTATTGGAGGTATGTGCCAGATCTGTCTACATGTGAGTGCTGATTTATACTCTTCTCCCATGATTGTGCGCTGGAGCTAGGAAAACCTGACTCCTTGATCAATCTCACAAACTAGTGCCAATTTCGCAAACCCCTTTATCAGATTCTGGTTATCAGATTAGATTACCCTCGGTACCGAACATGCACATGTGGCGAAAATCACAACTGACAACTTCCGAGAGCAAAAGTGGACTCCTCGCTTGGTCGTCGTCATGATATGGTCTCTAGCAGAATAGATTTTCGTCGGCATCGAATGACATCGGAGCAATAAGGTCGTGGACATGACTCTGACAGTGGAGAAGTCGGACATCGGGGACATCCAAATTGATCTGCTCCGACAGGTACTGCAGATCTTATCCCTCCTGAGTTCTGCGCGCCAAGAACTCCTGCACCCTTCACATTATGTCTGTCGTATTCTTGTCCATCGAGTACGACGTTTCTGCTCCAAGAGGGCACAACAGAAAAGGGTGATATGAATATATGGTCATACCTTATTCATAACGTCTCGAACCCACCGTCGCAGGAATCACGATATCTGCTCGGCTCTATCAACGAAATATTGATGCTGTTCCTCTACTTGAACTATGGCCAAAAACAAGGGTCACTAGTAGAATTGCCCCTCTGGGCTGTGGGTTCAGCCCTGAATTTTTGCTCCACTAGATGCGAACACAATGCTATTTCATTTCATTTGGTGCAGATTGTCGTCGGACAACGGACATCGGAGAGAACTCTCCGTCCGCGTCATTATTCATGCCCCGAATCATTGGACTCTTGCAGATGGATGTACAGCACTTATCTGGTAATCCGGGTGTCCGCCAACATCCGGCCGTGTATAACATCCACATCATGCCCCACAGAGCTGGAAGCCGGCAGCTGATCCGGAGTTCCAGCAGATGTATAGCGAAGCAATACCATGTTGCCCCAGCATACTATCCGCTCCGGTCGAATCCTATCAGTCTGTTGCCAGGCAGAGGCGAACAGATACAACGTGTTTGGCTGCACCGTATCCAGTCCGCGCAGGACTCGCTAGGGTATGAAGCAGGATTGTGCACGGAATGCACATGTTCCACATTACCCTGACTATCTCAATATCCACCGGGTACATGATTTAGCCGGCATCATCCTCAGTCCCTAAATGAAAGGGACGCGCAAGTGGATGTCACAGAACAGGGCTCCACGCTTAGCAAAGTTCAGCAGATTCTCCATCAGACGCGGGGCAAGCGCGATTTTGGCTGCAGGTCGGAATGCATAAATACCACCGTCTTCTCGCTCGTCAATGCTCTGCTCAGGCGTCACTCAGTTGAGGATCAGTTCAAGTCTTAGAGTATCGGGCAGTCCTCCGCAACCATGCGCTACTCCCTCCTCCCCCTTCTTGGCGTTGCCGCCGTCCCGGCCCTTGGAGGCTGTCCCTTCGCACACACTGCGAATATGGACGTTGATGACATGGTGAAGGCACACGCTCGCATGTCCCGAGGGTTGGTGGCATCCAAGAGCAGCCCCTCAACTGTTCCTACCTCCTCTACTACCGCTATCGTCGGCAAGAAGGGCGTGTTCATGATGAACCGCATTGCGCCTGGGACCTCTGAACTATACATTGCCAACACAGACGGCAGCAATGAGCGTCCACTCCTCTCCCACCCCGTCTTCGAGTACCACGCCTCCTTCTCTCCAGACGGAGAATGGATTACTTTCACCAGCGAGCGCAACGGCGACGGTAACTCTGACATCTACCGGGTGCGGGCCAATGGCTCTGATCTACAGGAGCTGGTCGCCACCCCAGCAGTGGAAGACTCCGTCGTGATCTCTCCCAACGGCCGTCTGGCAGCCTACGTCTCCACCGCCAACAACATGAAGGCAAACATCTGGGTCCTCGACCTGCAGACCGGCGCGCAGTGGAACCTCACCAACACTCCCAGCACTGCCGCCAACTCCTCCCTCATGGAGAGCTATCTCCGCCCTGCCTGGTCCCCCGATGGCGAATGGATCGCCTTCTCTTCGGACCGCAACACCCAATGGGACGGACACGGCGAGCCGACCTTCCTCGGCCGCACAGGCTGGGAGACGACACAAGAGCTCTCCCTTTACGCCATCCGTCCCAACGGCTCCGACTTCCGCCAGATCATCTCCAAGCCATACTACTCGCTGGGATCTCCCAAGTGGTCCGCCGACGGTAAACGCATCGTCTACTACGAAATGACCCGGGAAGATACCTACAATGCCCACCGTCCGGAAACCATCACCACGGCCAACTCAACCATCATGTCGGTCGATTTCGCCACCGGCACCGATGTGCGTGTTGAAGTCGCCGGCTCGGGCGTCAAGCAATTCCCGCAGTACCTAGATAGGAACGGCACCATCGCCTACACCCTCAAGGGCGGCACCAGCGAGGGCTTCTACACCACCGCAGGACTGTACGTCAACACGACCTCAGCGACCCTTCGGTCCCCAGCGTGGTCTCCCGACGGCAAACAAGTAGTCTACGAAAAGACCACCTGGAGCATCCGCGCGGGATACAAGAAGCTGTACAGCTGGGACAGCGACTGGGACTACCGGTTCACGGACGTCTTCCCTCAGATCTCGCACCAAGAGCGCATCGCCATCACCCAGAAGCAGCTGGGAAACTCGTCCATCGTGACGCTGAACACGACCGGCGCTGACCTGCAACTTGTCTACGACCCCAGCACGGCAGACTTCGTCAGCGACAACGAAACCACAGGTCTGAGCGCCTACCAGCCCAGCTGGTCCCCATGCGGCGAGTGGCTCGTCTTCGGCGTGGGATTCTGGTTCGAGACCCGAGAAGCCTCCGGCGGATGGATCGTGCGTGCTACCGCCAACGGGAGCTACTCGGAGGTACTCGTGAATAGCAGCTACGCCATCACCGAGGACGGGGCCCTGAACAATGGATTCCCGAGCTTCTCACCGGACGGCAAGAAAGTAGTGTATCGGGTATGGGGAGCCGACACCGCGACATACGGTAACGCCAGCGAGATCGGGTTGCGGGTGCTGGACCTCGAGACACGCAACACAACTGTGCTGACGACTGAATGGGATAATCTACCCCAGTTCTCCCCGGATGGAGAGCTCATCCTGTTCACGCGCAAGACCAGCACGTACAACTATGATGTGTGCACCATTCGACCGGACGGGACGGATCTACGCGTGTTGACGAGTAGTGGTGCTAACGATGCACATGCGGTGTGGTCGCAGGATGGGAGGATTATGTGGTCGACGGGAATGTATGGGTTCCGCTTTGAGTGTGCCTTGTATGATGATACGTTTCAGCCGTATGGGCAGATCATGATTATGGATAAGGATGGGGGGAATAAGAAGTTGATGACGAATTCGATGTGGGAGGATTCGATGCCGTTGTTTTTGCCGAGGGAGGTCCTTTAATCAGTTCTGGGAGGGTGCTGTAGTTGTTGGGGTATGTATGTAATTGGTGTACGATAGGGAGTACATAAGTTGTAGTTGTAGTTACAGCGCGTTGGGGGGGATGGAATGACAGCTGTGTTCGATCTGATCCGGTGTAAATATCTTGAGAAAGCAGGATCTACGTAACCTTGCTACCTCAGAACAATATGGCTGGGAATTGACGGGAGCGACATTCTGCCTTTTTCTACTCAGTCTACTGCTTAGTGTGTATGTATGAGATGGTTGTACAACGGATTTAGATCATATTGGTAGGACCTGTCCGAGGGAACAGCGTTGACGGTCGGTTCTATAGCATTAAGTCTTTCAGCAGTGGAAGATTCTTCTTTCAATATCCATCCCATATATGCATCCATAACACCAATCAATGGCAACCCCACTTGCAGTCACTACATGTATTGAGTGACATACAACATTCTAAAAACCCCCATATATCATTTTGAATGCAGCCGGCATTACACTAGCATTTCGTCAACATCACTCTCATGACGGTTTGAATAAGTGTCCCACGCTGAGGTCACGTCGTCTCAATTAACTTCCCCCGATGTTACATTCGCACAAGACAGTTTCCACAACCGGTGTATGACAGCTCATATCATGACACATCTACTATCATGTTTTTATACCGATGATTGACTAAGGTTCACAACAGAAGACCGTCGCGTTATCCTAGATTCTTGGTGTGATCTCAGGATGGTATACTCCGGACTTTTTGTCACTGTCTACTATGTGTCTAGGTTTCTCTACGGAGAATTTCTTCCGTCTTTTGCACTTCTTTCTTGTGCAATAGTACTCGATTTACTGAAGAGGTCTTTAGACCCAAAGCTGGATATAATCACAGGATCTGCTGAAGTTTGGATTCTCCTTGAATAATTCCGAAAAAAGCACTATGGTATTATTACTTTAGTCGAAAGCCAGGTGTCAGAGTGAGGCAACTACTAAGATCTCATAGTTTGCTTTTCCGTGACTTGGCTGCGCGGAATGAACTGGGAGACTTGATCACCCTGCGCCATTCTTCATTCAGCACCAAATGATCGCGTTTAGCCATCTTCTGTTTCTTTTCCTTCCACTCCCGCTCAGTGTCGCGGTATCCGCGCATAACCTCATCTAACCAGCTGGCACAATGGCCGGCTGTCTCTCCCACCACCTCAAAGGCGAAGAAGTGGCCTTGTTTGGGTAGAGTAACTTCCTTGACCTTGTCTTTTCCCCCGCTGCCCCCAACCCCTTGACCACAGCTCTTGATTCCTTCCCGAAGATCCTTGAGATTCAAATAACTCACTTCGCCAAGCAGGAAGAGGGCCGACGGTCGTAATGATGGCAACTTGTGGAATGTACTGGGTGGTTCGGGCCGATACACCGGAAGAACAGCCACAGAGGGGTCCACATCCGCATGGGTTGAGCGATCCAACTGAACCTGGCCATCTGTCATTCCAGCGTGGAAGCGTTCCCGGATTTGGCCCAGCACATCATGATACTTGGTCGTGGTCAGCGTGACAGGCGGGTCGGCAGCGTCTACATTGTCGGGCAGGTCGGGATGCAGGGCCGTGGGCAGGTCCCGGAACCCATACTGTACCATTAGTTTGAGACAACGGGGATCCCATTTCTTGAACACTTTCTTGTAGCCTGCAGCAGCAGCGGCCCTATTTAGCCAGACGTCATCACGCCACAAGGCAAAGTTGACAGGACCGGGCGGATCAGCGCCAAAGCCCATCTTGGGCGGCAATCGTTGAATTACCGGGTCGAAGAGGATGACTGAGGTTAGTAGACGAGGGTGCATCAGTGCCAGATTCGTACTTCACAGGGGTCAGCAACCATCCATCTAGGGTAGTGAGTGGAGACGCACATGATGGTACCTCCAAAGCTGTGGCCCACCCCTACTAGCGGTCGGGGCATCTGGTCGCGGAAGTGGTTGATCATCAGGAGAAGGTCGCGGGGATGGTCCATCCATGAGCCTAGAAGATGACCATTTTAGCGGGGGTGTTATGGAATCTGGGCGAAGCAGGGCCAGTCACGCACAGTCCATGCTAAGTTTATCTTCGTTGATTACTCCACTCATGCCCATGTTGGCAACGTCCGCTATCCAGATACCGCGAATGTGAAAGTTGGAATGAGCGGACCGTGCGAGAAGCTCGTCCCAGAGTGGCTCGTAAAGCTCCTATTCCTGATTAGCGTACTCTTATCCGATGGCTTCAAATGCCACTATTCACCTTGGGGAAGCCCACAGCATGAACTGCTATGATGGTGACAGCATCAGCCGGGACGGGATCGGGTAGATGGCGAGGCGTGTATTGCTTGATGTGGAGATGCAGGACATCTTCTTGGTCCACGGTACTGCCCGCATACTCCCGAACATAACACGCGGGGATGATGTGCTCGGTGACTCTGAACTTCGCGGTCGACATTATTATAAACTACAGTAACGGCGATGTTTATGGAAGGAGGAAATAAGCCGATGATGATGAAGGCGGGGGGGAAGTAGCTGATGTAGTTGGAGCTGAGTGAGACGGCAAGTCTGGGTCGGGCGGCCCACTTCCCCCCGGATCTCGAAGCTGGCCAGTGATCCACTCAGTCAAGTTGACAGTTGGATTCAAGGCGTACTGGACTCTTGTTGTAAATATGGTCACTATTATAATCTTGATGGTATTGTGATCGATTCTTGATGTGGGGAGTTGGCTGTGTAGTACACTGGACAGATACACCGTGACACAGTCATCCCGATAAGGGCTGCCACGGGAGGGACAGACAAATCGGGATAATACTTGTGGAAGAGAGGGAGATGCGAACTTATCTCAAAGGCATTGTTGTTGTGACTGTTTTTATTCATTCGCCTTCAAAACAATGCATTATCTTCCCGAGCGACCACAACAAAAAATTTAAATGGGAAAAAAGATATGACAAGAGTGGGACTCGAACCCACGCCTCTTTCGAGACTGCAATACATCCAACTGAGTTGGACAAGCGAAATTCACTTGAGTGCAGCGCCTTAGACCACTCGGCCATCTTGCCTTGGATGGGATATTGGCCGAAGCTTTGCATACATGTTGACAACAGATTTGACCCCAACCTGACACATTGATGCACGTGTGGCCTGCGACTGCCCTATTTTCTTTTAATGGAAAACAAGTATAGGTATTTATCTAGAGCTGAACCCAGTATCATCTATTTGGATTTTCTCTGGCGAATATATTAATCCCAAAATTGTGAGTTGTGATGAAGAGTTTGCTACTACATTGATCTGCTATCCGCGGATATATTCAGTCTCAATCTCTAACCTCAGGTTGACTGCCTGTCGGTAACCTCTCCGACCGTGTTAAATGCTTCGATATGGTTGGCCAGTAAACCGTCACCAATGCGATGGCGTGCGTCGGCGGAACCATCGCCTCATCACCGCCACGCCCAGCCCGGGAACTACTTGAATTGGCGCCTCGGCAGAGGAATCTATCATTTCAAGATGCGGGGAAACACCAGGGATGGCTAATCCTCCCTTGTTCCCCGTGTCCAATTTTTGAACTGCAACCTTCACCTCCCGTCATGAGCGCTGAAGGAAGAATTCGCAAACGTATCCCCAAGTCATGTAAACGCTGCCACCGACGCAAGCAGCGATGCGTCGGTTATCCGACCTGTACCGGCTGTGAATCCGCCAAACAGCCCTGTCTGCGATCCGAGTCCGTTCCCTCCTGGCACCATGCCATGTCCAAGGGGGCTTTGGTGCGCCGAATCGAAGTGCTCGAAGCGCAATTATCCGCTGCACTGGAACAGATTCCCCCGGATGAAGAGGCGCCAGCAGAACCGCTGTCAACGGGCGCAAAACTACAACCCCATGACTCCCGAGCTGGAGTGGTCTCAATGATGGCAATGAGCCAGGAGGGGAGCGACAACCTGGCTTACCTAGGACCCTCGTCAGGAATGTCCATCGCAGAAGATCTGGGCCGTCTGGTGCAAAACGCCGTCTGGCTGAGGTCCATTCCCATCAATGGCAGTCACCACCAACCTCCGCCGGATTGCGAGAGAACCGCAGCCAGCACCGCATTACCGAGCGAGGCTGTTGGTCTGCGCCTCCTGAATGCCTATTTCAAAGACATGCATACCCGTCTCCCGTTTCTTGATCGTGCGGAACTGATGCAATTGCATGCGACCGTACGAAAGTCCCCGTCAGATCAGATGAGCGAGGCTGCACGGTTCAAACTGTTCATGGTATACGCCATTGGCGCAGCTATTCTACAGATGACCGAGACCTACGACTCCACGCCCCCGAGCGCGTTTGTAGCCATGGCACTACAGCTGGAATCTGTCCTCGGGGAATCGCAGTCCTACATGAACATCGAAGCACTCATGTTACTCGTCCTCTATCACATGCGAACATCGTCTGCCACGAGAGTATGGTATCTGATAGGTCTAGCCATGCGCATCTGTATTGATCTAGGGTTACACCGCGAATCTCAGTATCAGAAGATGCGACCGTATGAAGGGCAGATGCGCCGGCGATTGTTCTGGTCTGTCTACCTGGTTGAGCGATATGTGGCCTGGTCTTTGGGACGGCCGTTCAGTGTTCCCGAGGAGGATATTGATGTCCATGCTCCAGCGGATCTGGATGATTCGTGTACCAGCGACGAGCTGGTTGAGCAGGCTTTGCAGGGCTCAGTGGCTCCGCGTGAGCCGGCGCGTGGAAGGAAGCTTCGGAGATTTATTGCTTTAGCGCAGTTGCAACGCATCATGTCACAGATTCATACCCGGGTTTATCGGACTGATAAGAACATCGCAACGCTAGTCCCGGAGACAACTCCGCTGCTTGCTGCGTTGGAGGAATTCGAAATATCGCTGCCGGCAATGGCACCAGAAGAAGACGATTTTGTCCATATGCACTGGAACAACGCCATTCGGATGCTCATTCAGCGGTTCGTGGGAGTCTTACCGCGGGGGGATCCCCTGATTGAAAAATGCTTGTACGCGTCAGGGCAGATGTGTCAGTGTTTCAAGCGGCTGCGACAGCGCGATTCATCTGGGTACTCCTTTCTCCTAGTTAACTCGCTGTATATGGCTGGATTGACTATCTGGTGAGCAGTTCCTTTTCTTCCAATACAATAGAACCAGAACTAACGAGATAGCCTTTGCCTCTTCCGAGCCCCTCAACTGTGGACAGTAGCCGTGTCAAATGATCTGAGAGCCTGTTCTTCTGCGCTATTCGTTATGGCGGAGAGAAATCCTAGTCTGAAGAAGTACCGAGACGGGCTGGAGATGATCATCAACCGCGTGATGGAATCTGTCAATGATGCGGCCAAGGCCGATCCTATGCTAAGTGATTCCCATACCGAGGACGTTATTCCCACACCACATTCTGAGAGTGTGAGCGCACAGACCGACGTGACGACTGGGAATTCTCATTTCTCAGCAGGATGGCTCGACTTTCAGTATCCGTTGCCCCCTATGGGAGGGTTAACTGGACACGATCCATATGGGCAGGGATCTGCAGCAGGAGACACACCCGACATCTGGCATACATTCAGCGAAATGTTCCCGGAGATATGGTCAAACGACCTGTTAAGCATGGACATGTCTGATGGGCTAAACTGGTTTACTCCGGAGTAGATAGTAACTAAAAGATACCCAATCCCGACATAGTAATGAAAATAACTACAAATGAGCCGGAGACAGCGTATCTTCAATCCCCAGATCCTCCCTCCTCGACTTACTCTCAGGATCAAAGTAAGGCACCTCACCCACACCGACTGCGCGATTGCCACTTCTAGGCCCAAAACCCTCGTGATCACCAGTGGCCGTATGGAACACGCTGCGATTATCCCAGATGGCTATATCGTCAGTATCTGCATGAGTCCAAGGAGTATACAACATACCAATATCATTCGGCTCATTCCACTTGAACCGCACCTGCAGATCATGACCGTAGGTAATCAGATCATGAAAGTACTGCAGCATATTCGCACTCTCCCTCCGATTCAACTCATTAATCTTGCTCGGAAAGGCCCCTATTCAATATTAGCACACATCATTTTCACCCTCACACCCACTAACGACATAACCATACCAATCGGGAAGACCGACTTCCACCCCGTAATCGGATTCGTCCTAACAACCTATCCCAACAATCAGCGACCCTCTCATACCCCAGCAATCAACGAAAAAGGTCATACCGGATGCACGGCCTCCAACTCATCCCCCACATTAACCGGCGCGCCCCTCTCCCCCTCATAGACCTTAACCCCCATCCTCTTAAACCCCTCCCCAACATGGGTAGCACTCAACCCCTCCAAGAACCCCCTATAGGGCTTACTTATCCGATCATAAACCTCATACCCGGAAGCCCACAACGTATCACCCCCGGTAACAGGCAACTGCGTCAACCTAAGACTGGAGAAATCCGCCGGTGCCTTCTCAAACGCAATATCACTATGCCAGACCGCCGCCATACGGGTATAATCCGATCCCTTGTAGAGTTTCTTCCGTCCTTCGGAGTTGATCGTGCTGATTTCGGGGTCGGGGTCGCCGAATTCCCGCGAGTCGTTGGTTACGGGGTGGATGTGTAGGCCGTGGGTGGCGGGTCGAGTGGTGAGGTGGCCCATTTGGAGGATGAGCTGTTTTTGGAGGTCGTTGGTTAGGTTGTGCTGGGCGCGGAAGAAGACGACGCCTCTTTCTGCGACTATTTATACCGATGTCTTGTTAGATGGGTGGGTGGGTAGGTGGGATGGGATGGAATGAGATTTACCGAGGACGGCAAGGTCACGAATACGCTGCTCAGCATTGGGGGCATTGAGAATGTCGTCGACAATGTTGCAGCTGTCTTTGGGGAATTCGGTGCCGATGACGGGTGTGACTAGGATGGGGTTGAAAGCATCAAGGGAGCCGGTGGAGTGGATTCGCTGGGGCATGGTAGTATGAATGTGTATCTTTCTGTTTATTTGCAATATGATTAGTGGTTTGTAGTATATGTTTGTAAGTGGCAGATATCGATATTTATGTTCAGCCGGGTGTGGTGTATAGATCGGCTTTCGGCGTTAGGAGGGTGCTAGGATCTGGAGATATCGCCGATTGCGTTATGGGTGGGAAGGATGGTTTCACTAGGCTTGGATGGTATCATCGGGGTTAATGAGATTCATGGATGCACAAGTCAGTTTAGATGGGTATAGTTCGGACAATGGTTGTGTGGTCGGCGACGAATCAAGATAATACCTCCAACCCTGTTGTATCTTGTTTCAGTTTATGCTAAAAGACGGCTTGTATAATTTGCACAGCAGCTGTATGCTAAGCTCAGAAGTATGCGGGTGTTACAAATTACTAACAGTCTGCAATGGACGGATCTCCACAACGCTATGCATATGCATCTGATATCTCAAAGCTCCACAAACGATCATACAGAAGGCTCAAATCGCTGAAGAACAATACATCCAATATACACAAAGAAGAAGAACAAATAAGATACCAAGAAAAAAAAAATCCATCATCCTCATCGATGACGACTCCGATCGGTAATGTCATGCTGCAATCATGTCGAACATTATCCCGGGTATCAGACCAAACTCATACACACCCCCAACTATACTCGCACTCAAACCATATTCGCCCGATGCTCATCCGAAGGCGTCCCCGGCGCCGTCCGGTTC